CGGTGTCCCCCCCGAGGATCTGGAGGGGTTAGCTGGGGAGAGGGAGGCCTGGGTGCCTCTACTGAAGCTGCTACCCCCGCGACCCGAACCCCGGACAAGCGGAAGATGATGGATGGATGGATGCATCTTCATAATTCCTTCATATACCATTCAGTGCACCTTTTTGATGCATTTATAGAAAATTTATAAGCAGCATGTAAATATGCCTTAGCTTTAATATACATTAGCAAACATAATATTCTAATCATGTAATGTATATTAAAGCTGCTAAGGTATGTTAAGATGTTAAGGTATACTTCCATGCTGCTTATGAATGTTCAATAAATGCATCAAAAAGGTGCACTGAATGTTCTATGAATCTTTTGTAAGGGCATTATGGAACAGCAGTTAATGTAACAAAAATATTGAATATTGTAGAGCTTTTGCTATATAGTTTTTTGATTCTTTGTTTCTTAATACTTGTTGCTTTTATTACTCACTGTAGTTTTTTTTTTTTTTGTATGGAGCACTACCATACCAAAGAAAACTTCCTGAAAGAAAACCCAAATATACATTTAATACGGCACCACATCTAATTTCACCTTAGCTAATTGCTTTAAGGAAGTTAAAACCTGGATGGCGGAAAACTTCTCATCACTAAATGCTCAGAAAACCAAGGTTCTGTTGTTTGGAGGCAGGTCTGCAGGTAGGAATTTTATTATCTCTGCCCTCCACTCCAAAGGGCTGATCTTTTCCCTCAACAGCTCAGCCCGTAACCTAGGTGTCATGTAAGTGCATTATCAAAGGTGTGTTTCCTACAGCTACACATCACCAAACTGCAACGATTTCTTACTATTCAAGACACAGAGAAATTGATACATGCCTTTGTATACAGTAGGTTAGACTACTGTAATGCTCTGTCACCTGGTAGCACACACTGCACACTAAATACCTTGCAGCATATTCAAAACGCAGCAACTTGAATTGTCACCAGGAGCAGGAAATTTGAACACATAACCCCTGTTCTTAGTTCCCTGCACTGGCTTCCTGTTAAGTTTAGAGCCGACTTCAAAGTTCTCCTACTTAAATATAAGGCACTTAAAGGTCTAGCTCCTGCCTACCTGACAGAAATTCTTCAAGTTTTCAAGCCGCGTCGTCCATTCAGATCACAGAATGAAGGTTTCCTTGTCGTTCCACACATAAATAAAGTGAGAGTGGGCGGTAAAGCATTCTGCTATAGGGCCCCTATATTGTGGAATGGTCTACCAGCCTATGTTTGGGATGCCGATTCGGTCTTTAAATCTCGACTGATGACCCATTACTTCAGTTTAGTTAACCCGCAACCTAACACAACATAAATATGGCTGTTGGTGCTGCTGTACACATCTTTTTATCTACTATGCTTGTCCATTTATGTGTCAATGCATGTTCTGACCATACATGCTCTCTGCCTTCCCACATGTCTGTTTTCAGTAATGTCAGTATGCCCAGTTGACCTTGGACCTCCAGAAGTTTTTTTAATCTTTACTTGGGAGTTTTTGGTTCCTCTCCTCCGTTGTCTTCTGGCTTTCTTTATTTAATTTCTTTTCTTCCTTTTTCCTGTTCCATAGATCTCTCTAATTATGTTTTATGTATTACAACACATCCATGTAAACTCTGTTGTGAAAGGCGCTATATAAAAATAAATTGAATGAATTGAATAGATTCAACATGCTTGGCAATAAACTAAATTCTGATGATCTTCTCTGCCGTTATCATTCCCTGAGGGTTTCCAGTTTCCTGATGGGCTTCTGTGGGAGAACAGAATTGAATCCTGAACTACAGTCTACAAACAGCACTGAGATGTATTTGTTCTTGTGTTCCAGGTGGGTCAGGAGTGCTAGGCAAACCTGAAGGAATCTAGTGAGATGGGGAGGCAGCCTTGAAATGGACTATGATTTAGTCACAAGTCATTTAGTCCTGTCACTGCTGACTTGTTTTGGTAGATGAATGATTGTGGCTGTTTTGAGGGGTGAAGGCCTGACAGCCTAGCTCAGAGAAATGTAGAAGAAGTAGATCTGCCAGTTAGCATTTATATTCCCTGAGCATGACAGGGAATGTTTTAGGGCCCAAAGGCTTTGCACTGATCCACTTCGGTGGACAGATGGAGGTCTTGATCATTGGGAAGAGAGGTGCTTTTCTGCACTTGCACATCATCGTGGGTGTGAAAGTGTCTATGAAAGTCCGGAAGAAAGGCGGAAGAGGGTCACTGCTGGCTGTGGATCCTTTGTGCATACCTCCTCTTGGCCATTCTGTTGGCATGAATCAGGGCACTCCTTGCTGCTTTGTAGGCTATGATGTGAGCATTCAGCAGAGCTCAGACTTCATTCGTTAGCTGGGGTTTCTGGTTGGCATGTACAGGTGCTCAGAGACTGACGATGCAGTTACCTTCCAATGAACCCCTCGTAAGTGGAAAATATCATAAGCAAAATACGAATATGATATGGCAAATGAATAAGTAAATAAATAACTACTATCACTGGATAAGTAAAAAAAAATATTACTGTAACAGTATCAATATTTATTATAAGTAAATGGATATAAGTTTATTTGATTAAACACACACAAAAAAAATGTTGAACACTGCATGAGATATTTCTAGTCAAGACTGCTACAGAGATTGGACTCATGACTGGGTGGATACTGCCATCACCCGGCATCAGTAGAAAGTATCGTATGGCATATCACTAGCCTGGGAAGAGATCAATATTCAAAGCTGGCTACTGAATGTGCCTGAATTACTATCACACCATCATAAAGTTGAAATATTGTAAGTCAAGCCATCGTAAATGAAGGAGCAGCAAAGCAGTCATGTGTCTGTATACTGATGTACAGACACTGAGACAGTGACATCCTCTGTATATTAGATGATGTAACTGATGTAGCTGATGTGTACTTCTCCAAAACTTGTGTTCTGACAATCACTTGTCATTCAAAACAGTCAGAAGTGTTGACCTCCAGAAGTGTAGAACCTCCTGGTCACACTCTAATCTTCTTCAAAACCTGTTTTCCCCTATCTGAGTAATGGCTTGTATGCTGGATTTAGGATCACAGAGAGGGAATCGGAAGATCCAAGGCAGGGGCGGGGTGTCACTTTGTATGCAGACTGATAGTTTAGACCAGGAGTATTCAACTAAAATTTAAAGAGGCCCAGTTAGAGAAAATTTCTTGAAGCAAAGGTCCGGAAGCTCATAAGGTCTAACTGTCTAGTGTGATATATATTTCAGTAGCCTATTAGTTGTATCAACATTGCATGTAATCAATACCTGACTGTCAAATCAAATTAATTCAGTACAATTCAAAAACTTTTTGACAATATTTATTGCCATGTAACACAGAACTTTTGCCAGTTGGCTGGAGTGAGATTTTCAAGTCGAGATGTCTGCACACATGGTACATGCATACAAGGTAAGATTTCGCATAAATCTTATCCGCAAAGGGCCGGTGTGTATGCGGGTTTTCGCTGCAACTCCCTAATTAGATTACTAATTAGAGGACTGATTGGCTGAAGAGTCCTCACACCTGGGTTTGAACAGCTGACCTACAGGTTATCCCAAAAACCTGCATACACACCGGCCCTTTGCGGATGAGATTGGCCACCCCTGTACTAAGGGCAGAAAGATGGATGGAGCAGCTGGTCTGTTGCGTTAGCTGTTAACTTGATGTGGATGCCTGCTGGTTTGCCTTACTTCTGTTTTCTCTCTCACCGTTTGCGGCACTTCTTTTTAATAATAATAAATAATAATAATAAATTTAATTTGTAATGCACTTTACATTTTACAGAGAAAATCTTAAAGCACATACAGACAATGAGAGAACATTACTTTAAAAACAGCAAAAATGGGCCTCTGCTTTAGGGCCTCGTGCAGTAATCCAAGGCATCGTAGCGGATGGGTTATCGGTGAAGTCAGATAGTGACAAATACAAATTCTTCAAATTTGTTTTTAAATAATCTCTATTGTGCTTATTTGGCTTTTGGCATGTTTTGACTAAGATGTACATTAAATAGAATTTGCTGTTTTCAGTTACTCAGTAAAAGCTGCTGCATTTGTTCATGGTGCCATCAAAGTGGCACAAGTGAACAGGCAGTGTAACCAACAGTTTAGCTAAAAATGGGTAGCGTTTTACTAATTAGTGCCCGTAAAATGAGCATGATTTAATCTGAGGGGACAGTCATGGGGATAGCGTACCTGAGGAGTGATGGTTGAAGTAGGTGAGCCGGGGCTGCTCAGAGCCCAGCAGATTCAGGCTGCCATCTAGGTTCAGGGGTCGGATCTGGGGTGGAGGAAAAGGGGCAGCTTAGAAGCTGCATGGTGAGCACACGCGGACATGCACTGTGACACCCACCTTCCTGAGAGAGAGCGTCTGCACCCACTCCATGCTGTTGATATCAAAGATATCAATGCCGTAGTCACTGTACACGCTCAGGTAGGATAGGTTAGAGCCTGGAATGGGAGGAAGATACCATGAGCAAAATGTCACAGGCAGACAGAGAGACATTTGGGCTGTGCTGAATATTGATATGGCATTGTGTCTTCATTCCGATATGTGCATCATACAGCTGCTGCATAATCGATACAACATGAACGAGCAGAAAAACAGTCCTTATAGGATTTTGCGATTCTGCAAATGTAGAAATGAATGTAAAATCAAAATGTAAGAGCTTGAAATTTTTCAAATTTACTGCAGCAAGGAATGGTCGAATCAACATACCACTTGCATTTGGACTATAACATCACCTCAGCATGGATTACATGGACCACTAATTACAGTAAAACCTTGGATTGCGAGTAACTTGGTTTGCGAGTGTTTTGCAAGACGAGCAAATTTAAAAAATAAATTTTAACCTGATAAACGAGCGAGGTCCTGCAATATGAGTGTTACATATACACTTTGTCTGCCTAGCGTCACGTGATCACAACTCAGCCGAAGGTTTCTTCTCCCTTTCGATGCAGGATTGTAAGTAATCGTCTCCCATGCTCGGCCTCAGTCAGTGTGCCTCACACGTATAGTCAAAATTTAGTATAAAAGCACCACCCGAATAAGGGCATAGCAGTGCAAAGGATTAATCTGTTTAACAACACATTTATGCTAAATCGAAAAGGAGGCAAAAGCAGATGTCATCGGATAGGTTCCTTGTTAAAGTCGCACAAAAAGAAAAAGATTCCAGTGAGCCAACAGATAGCAGTGATTCCGTTAGTTAAAGTGAAAGTCGTCCTACAAAATAACCCTCCTCTTCTCCTCTCTCTCGTCTCCCTCACACCATCCACAATTCTTTTCAAAGGTAAAGTGCAAGTTAATTTGTTTTATGTATTTTTACTTTATATTTTGTATTAATCATTTTAATATTAATATTTTTGGGTTGTGGAACGAATCATCTGAGTTTCCATTATTTCTAATAGCAAAATTCGCTTTGATATACAAGTGCTTTGGATTACAAGCACGTTTCCAGAATGAATTATGCTCGCAATCCGAGGTTTTACTGCATTATAAAAACCTGACACTTACTCCCCATCATCAAATCATAAAACATCAAATTTACAAAAACCTGTGAATGCAATAATAATAAAAAAAAACTAAAAATACCAGAAGTCTTACTTATGGTTAAGGTTAGGGCTGGGTAGTGGTTAAGGTTGTTAGAATTGGGATTAGGGTTATGCCCGTAGAAATGAAAGTTAGAGATACTAATTAATATGACTGAGCCCATGGTTCTTGAACAGACAGATACGTATGCAGACATGCATGCAGTCACAAACAGAAACACAGACTGACACAGACAGACACGCATGCAGACAGACAGACAGACACGCACGCAGACAGACAGACACACATGCACACAGACAGACACAGACAAATATGCAGACAGAGACATAGACAAACACGTACGCAGAGACATAGGCAGACAGAGACACTGACAAACAAGCAAGCAGACAGAGACACTGACAGACACATAGGCAGACAGAGACAGACACATACACAGAGACACAGACAGTCATGCACGCAGACACACAGACACGCATGCAAACAGACACTGACAGACACAGACCGAGACACTGATAGACACAGACAGAGACACTGACAGACGTGCACACACACACGCACGCAGGCAGACACACACGTAAAACAGAGATACTGACAGACACGCAGATAGAGACACTGACAAACACGCACAGAGAGAAAGACACTGACCCCAATGGCAAACACAGAGGTACGTACAGCAGGCAAGGGGTGTGGCCGGCCACATGAGCTCCTGGGTGCGGGAGCGGCGACCCTGTCGGTCCACATAGATGCCCAGCTGGCTGAAGCAGAGCAGCACCTCGTTGGCGCCCACAGGGGTGGCGTGCAGTGCATCCAGAGACTGCTGGCTCAGGAAGGACAGCGACGGGTCAGTGGGGCCCACCAGGCTAACGGGTGAGGACTCCCCCTGCAGGGCAAGCAGGGCAAAGCCGGACGGGTAGCCCACGCAGATGCGCTCGTGCACCATGCCCAGCCACTGCACCACACCTGGCATTTGCACCTCCCAGAGGCGGCGGTGGTGCGGCCTGCCACGTGTCACCTCGTAGCAAAGCAACTGGCGCTTGACAGCGGCCAGCAGACAGGCAGGGCCCCCAGGCCGCAGCTCACCGGTGGTCAGCACCTGGCAGCCCTTGGTTTCAGCCAGCTTGACATCGTGTACCCCCTCCACACCCTCCAGCACCTCCCAGGGGTAGAAGTGCACGTGGCGGTAGCGGCCGCACAACAGTATCACCAAGTTCTCCTTGGGGATCAACTCGATCTGCTGCACCTTCCTACAGTCCGTCGCTCGTACGATCACTGGGGACACAGACGGAAGATGGGGGGTGGGGGCAGTCAAGTGGGGCAATTACAGGGAAGCCCAGTGGATGAGGCCCAATCATGACAAAGACACTCAATAACAGGTAAACGACCATCAGGCTTTGATCCCCGCTGGGCCATGGTGACACTCTCAGGAGAACCGGATATCACTCCACAGGCTGGGGTTGAGTGAATGGTCTTAATCATCAACAATGCCCTTCATTTTGGATGGGGGACTTCTTAAAAAATAAATCTGTGTCTGTAGCTGTCCTTTCATGTGCCACCACTATGTGGCACTGCTTCAACCTTCATTCAACTTGTCACAAAAAGATAACACATACAGATCTTCATCTTTTGTTGGTACTTAAGTAGTAATAGGATCTGTGAAACACTTCGAATTGTCACTTTCTCAAGGCCTCTGCGGCTACCCTTTTCTTTGCCACCACTTTTGGTGCAATGTCACAAAAATCCAGATGTTCACCCAAACAGTGTGTCTGCAAAGTTTGACAGATTCTTCAGATATTTAGAAAGACTGTGCTAATGGTATCAAGTGTCTGAGGTGGCAGATCTGTCCCAGAACCATATGTATTCTCCCTCCAGGTAACACACCAAACCTTACCATCCCTGGTGACCTCGATGACAAACAAGCCTTCCTCTGTGCCCAAGGCCACTCGTTCTCTGTCTGGGGGGGGGACACAAGACCAAGGTCAGAGCAACAGAGCAATCAACTTTCCCAGGAAACCTTCAATGCCCTCTGATCCAGGGTCATAACCTCGACCACCTAACACCCTGTGGCTGTGTCTGAATTCAGGAGCTACATCCTTCTAAAGCTGTAGACTGGATTTTGTCACAATGGCATGACAAGGCTGACCCACTTCGAAGGGTCCTTCAAATGCAGCCTAGAAATGCATCCTTCTTTTGCCGAGTTGCAAAGGATCCTCCCAATGGATTCTTTACACCTCAACATATCCCAAGATTGCAGGATGCAGCCTTCAATTCAGACACAGCCTCTTCCCCAACTGTGCGCAGCTTGTACTGACCTGTGAGCAATCGTGGGAACCACAAAGCCCGTAAATACCCGGATTCAGACTTGGGAACCATGCAGCCTGTAGTGTCCCAGGAACAGACGTGGGAACCACGTAACCTGTATTATCCTGGGATCAGATCTGGGAACCCGCACAGCCTGTATTGACCCTGGATCAGACCTCGGAACCACGCAGCTCGTACTAACCTGGGATCAGACCGGGGTACCAGCACAGCCCGTACTGACCCGGGATCAGACCGGGGTACCTGCGCAGCCCATACTGACCCGGGTTCAGACCTGGTTGCACACACAGCCCATCATAACCTAGGATCAGACCTGGTTACCCGCGCAGCCCGTACTAACCCAGGATCAGCCCTGGGTACCTGCGCAGCCTGTACTAACCCAGGATCAGACCTGGGTACCCACGTAGCCCGTACTGACCCGGGATCAGACCTGAGCCCCTGTAGCTCACCCAGGATGGCAGCGGATAATGTCATCTTAATGGCAGGCAGGCCACTGTCGTAGGCCTCGCTCAGCAGGTACACAGAACGTTCTGGGGGCTGGTTCTTTTGCACGATGGTCTTCAAACCCTCCAGGATGCCCACCCACTTCCTCTTCTCAGCCTCGCTCTCCACCAGCACCAGCAATGAGGCCGTGCGTGCCGGTGAGTTCAGCAGCGATGATGTAACCTGGGGCAGAGGGTTAGGCCACCATGTTAAAAAATAATAATAATAATAATAATAATCGATACTTTATTGATCCCCTTGGGGAAATTGTCTTTACGCCTCCCTCCACTTTTTCATAGAATAAGTTGTCCGCGAAGGGCAGCCACCCGTACTGAGTAAATGCACGGTGCACCCACGGCGTTAACAGGATGGCGTGCCCGTATTTTCAAAGAGATGGTGCATGACGGAAAAGCTGATACATGCAGGGAGAAGAACTTACCCTGAATATGCAGGGGACGTCCTTCCGTGTTGCGTGGATGACATCTGAGTCCAGCACCGAGCTTACAGAGAAGGCCTCGTCTCTGAAAATCAGGGGAGCGAGGTTGAGATGCATGCAGCCCCCACTTCTTGAAAATGGGGGGGTCTTGCTGCAGGACACTCACCTGAGGTCGAGCACCTGGTTGGCCACCACACCAGGCTGTGTTGATTTGCCCTCAGGGACCTCGTACAGGAAGAGCTTGCAGTCGCAAAGTACGGCATAGACTCTCTGCCAGCCCCTCCGCACGCCTGACGGCTTAGGGATCTGCCGGGGGGCTCACATTACTAATCGGGCCTCAATGAGAATAATTAAACTGTACTTATGGTTAGACAGGTCTTAGCTACATGGGGCAGGCTGGGTGTTTTCACTTCTGGGACACTACTGTGTTGCAAAAACACTTATTAGGAAATAACCGCAGCATCTCATAGGGACACTGGCCCAATTTCGCAGGAGCTGCTCACTGCCTGGCCGGCCTGCCCCTTTCTCTCTGGTGATGGGTAGAAGCGCGTGTATTAAGCAGGAGGTGAAAGACACCCAACAGGCCAAGATAGCCATTGCCCAGCGATTTAAATGTGAACGATGTATGGCTCGGCCTCCAAGGGATGCCCCAGGGTCGACATAGCGGAGGGTTTACCCTAACGAAGCCCCTGTAGGCTGTGCCAATGCCCCGGTGCATGTCAATGCCCAGTGGCCTCTTCGCCTGCTCCAGGGGGATGGGGCACACCTGTGGGGCGTAGTCCTTGCAGGAGACGTGGCAGATGAAGGAGCACACTGAGGGCCAAGGGTGGGGGGAAGGCAAGCAGACAGTCAGCTGGTGTGTGAAGATGGTGCTGAGATGCTGCAACCTAACTGCCTGCTGGGCTTGCATGCTCATTCTCATTTAAAATGAATGTGAATTAACCTGGACTGCTTAAGACAAATGGCATGAATAAGCAGCTCACATAACCATATTAAAATGCTGGTATGACCTGAAGAAAATACTGGGTACAGTGTGTGCCTCAGAGCTCTTAATTCACTCTGAATGGGGGGATACTGTGTCCAACGGTGAGGGGGCGGAGGGGGTCTTACCCTCACAGGCGTAACCCTGGCGGATCAAGCCAACCATCAGAGAGCTGCAGTGGGAGCACTGGGTGGGACTGGAGAAGGTCTTTATACTCAGCTGGTGAGCACTGAGCTGAAACACAGACACAGACTCAAGGGGGTAGACATGCTCTGGACGATGCAGACTAAGGCCTGCAGTATGGCAGCTTAACAAGTGCATCACTCAGAGGCCACGTGCATTATGGGAGGAGAGGCTTACCATTGGGGAGACCGGCACAGGGCCAACTGGGGGTGTTTTGAGCTGTTCCTGTCAGAGGTAGGATTTTAAAGTATCATCACTTTGGTAACACCAGGTTCAGATGCAGCATCAATATCAGCTATTATAGGTGCACCGAGCAGAAGTGTAACGTGGTGCAGGTAACTTGATAACTAACAGTCCTAACAGGGCTTTCAGTGTGCCCAGATCACTCAGCCACCATTCCAAGGCCAGAATGAGCATGTGGATCCACCAGGTGACACAATAAAACAAACACCTACGTTTTGTTCTCGAGCCGAAGTGGGTGAGAAGGAAATTTCCTGCTTCTGGAGCGTGGATTCAAGCTCAGGTGTGGAGCTGGTCTAGAGCACAGGAGCAGAGGGCATAAGGTCAAGTTATACCAGAGTGAAGCTAAGAGGCAGAGCTACAGGCTGTCAGAGGAAGGGGAACATCTTCATGGCTTCATCTTGATAGGACACAACCAGATGGTCACACTACACAACATTAAAATTCAACTCCCAGTCTACTTTTTCCTTAAGTATACACTGTTTAATTTTCATAGATACAGTTGTGCTCAAAAGTTTACATACCCTGGCAGAATTTGTGATGTTTTGGCCATTTTTCAGAGAATATGAATGATAACACAATAACCTCTCTGTCACTCGTGGTTAGTGGTTGGGTGAAGCCATTTATTATCAAACAATTGTGTTTGCCTTTTTTACATCATAATGACAACAGAAAATACCCAAATGACCCCGATCAAAAGTTTACATACCCTGGAAATTTTGGCATGATAACATAGACACAGGTTGACACACACAGGTGTAAATGACTACTAAAGGTAACCATCCTCACCTGTGATCTGTTTGCTTGTAATTAGTGGGTGTGTATAAAAAGTCAGTGAGTTTCTAGGCTCCTGACATGAGTCATCCAGTGTTGCACTGATTTTTGTTGGATTCCGAGCCATGGGGAAAGCAAAAGAATTATCAAAGGATCTGCGGGAGAAGGATGTTGAACTTCATAAAACAGGAAAAGGATATAAAAAGATTTCCAAGCAATTAAGAATGCCAGTCAGCAGTGTTCAGACCCTAATTAAGAAGTGGAAAATGAGGGATTCTGTTGAAACCAAACCACGATCAGGTAGACCAACAAAACTTTCAGCCACAACTGCCAGGAAAATTGTTCGGGATGCAAAGAAAAACCCACAAATAACTTCAGCTGACATACAGGAGTCTCTGGAAAAAAAGTGGTGTGGATGTATCAAGATGCACAATAAGGAGGCACTTGAAGAAAAATGGGCTGCATGGTCGAGTGGCCAGAAGAAAGCCATTACTGCGCAAATGCCACAAAATAGCTCGCTTACAATATGCCAAACAGCACCGAGACAAGCCTCAAAACTTCTGGAACAAAGTTATTTGGAGTTATAAGACTAAAATTAAACGTTACATTTGGAGAGGACTCAACAATGCCCATGATGAAAAGTACACCATCCCTACTGTGAAACACGGAGGTGGATCGCTGATGTTTTGGGGGTGTGTGAGCTACACAGGCACAGGGAACTTGGCCAGAATTGATGGCAAGATGAATGCAGCACATTATCAGAAAATACTGGAGGAACATTTGCACTCATCAGCTCGGAAGCTGTGCATGGGACGCTCTTGGACATTCCAACATGACAACGATCCAAAGCACAAGGCCAAGTCAACTTGTCAATGGCTACAGCAGAAAAAAGTGAAGGTTCTGGAATGGCCATCTCAGTCTCCTGACCTCAATATCATTGAGCCACTTTGGGGAGATCTCAAACGTGCAGTTCATGCAAGACAGCCCAAGAATGTACAGGAACTGGAGACATTTTGCCAAGAAGAATGGGCAGGTTTACCATCTGAGAAGATAAAGTGTCTCATCCACAACTATCACAAAAGACTTCAGGCTGTCATTGATGCTAAAGGAGGCAATACAAGGTATTAAGAACTAGGTTATGTAAACTTTTGATCGGGGTCATTTGGGTATTTTCTGTTGTCATTATGATGTAAAAAAGGCAAACACAATTGTTTGATAATAAATGGCTTCACCCAACCATTAACCACGAGTGACAGAGAGGTTATTGTGTTATCATTCATATTCTCTGAAAAATGGCCAAAACATCACAAATTCTGCCAGGGTATGTAAACTTTTGAGCACAACTGTATTAAATGAAAGTAATGAGCCTCCATTACATTGGGTAGCTTTATTCCCATATTTGGTATTGCACTTCAGTCAGACTAATTGAGGAACTGTGTCTGACAGTATAGTTTGGCTTGTTTCTTGGCTGACTGGACAAAGATATCAAACACATCCATCCACAGGCAGACTGTGATTCACAGAGAGGTCTATTTCATTAATGATTAGTCACTGCCTACTTCTGTCTGCACATTTTCTCTCTGTGTGTGTGTGTGTGTGTGTGTGTGTGTGTGTGTGTGTGTTTGTGTGGATTAGGTTTATATTACATTGTGCTTTGGGGGGCTTTTTCAGGTCCCCACAAAGATCTGTCAATATAATCAAAAAACTAAAAATGCCAGAAGTCTTTGGTTTGGTTACTTATGGTTAAGGTTAGGGCTGGGTAGGGGTTAAGGTTGTCATGTTGGGATTACAGTTTTCCCCATAGAAATGAATGGAGAGTCCCCACAAAGATATAACTGCAAACCTGTGTGTGTGTGTGTGCATATGGGACATGTTTGTACAGTTACTTTATCCTAGATGCCAGCAGAGATAAGGAGCACAGAGTCCTTTTATGGTAAGAGATTATGGGACCCCAACTCCTGATCTGAAAAAATACAGACAGCACATTAAGTATCCTTCCATGGACAAAAGCACATTGGATAACTGCTACACCACATTAAAAGACACCTATTGTGCAGTCTCCCGTGCTGCTTTTGGACACTCTGACCACTGTATGGTACACCTCTCCTACTTACAAGCAGAAGCTAAAATCTGCAAAGCCAGTGGTCAAGACGGTGAGGATATTGACCAGGGAGGCTAAGCTCAAACTATAGGACTGCTTTGACTGCACTGACTGGAGTGTTTTTGAGACTGCAGCTACCGACCTGCACCATCTCACTGACACGGCGACATCCTACATCAGTTTCTGTGAGGACGTGTGTGTGCCAACTAAAACTTTCCACTTATACAGCAACAATAAAGCCTGGTTTACAGCCAAACTCAGGCAAGTTCGTTGGGAGAAAGAGGAAGCCGACAGAAGTGGGGACAGAATTCTGTACAACCAGGCAAGGATCACACTGACAAAGGACATCAGAATAGCAAAGAGGTGCTACTCTCAAAATCTGGAAAATAGGTTTTCAGGTAACGATCCTCCATCGGTGTGGAGAGGCCTACAGGACATCACTATCTACGGAAGACCACCCCCCCCCCCAACACTGCAGAGTATTATCAACTGGCCAACGGTCTGAATGTGCATTACTGCAGGTTCGACAAACCAACTTTCACACCCCACCCTCTCTGACTGCATCATACAACTAGCACCCCCTGTCATCCCCTCACCCCCCACACTGTCACACCTCTGCCAATCAGGATCTGTGAAGAAGACGTGAATCAGCTCTTCAGAAGACAGAAGAGCAGGAAGGGACCAGGTCCAGATGGCATGTCACCCTCCTGCCTTAAAGTATGCGCTGACCAGCTGGCCCCCATCTTCACACAGATCTTCAACAGATCCTTGGAGCTGTGCAAAGTCTCCTTCTCCTTCAAGCACTCCACAATCATCCTGGTCCCTAAGAAACCCTCTATCATAGGGTTAAACGACTGCAGGCCTATGGCCCTGACGTCTGTGGTCAGGAAATCCCTTGAGAGACTGTTGAAGGACATCAAAGGCCCCCTGCTAGACCCTCAACAGTTTGCATAACGGGCAAATAGGTCAGCAGAGGATACAGTCAACATGGGACTGCACTACATACTGCAACACCTTGACTCCCCAGGAACATATGCTAGGGTCCTGTTTGTGGAATTTAACTCGCCGTGTAACACCATTGTCTCAGAAGGTCTCCACTCCAAAATCACCCAGCTGACTGTACCAGCCCCCATCTGCCAGTGGATCACAAACTTTATGCCAGACAGGAAGCAGCAGGTAAGGGTGGGGAAAATCACATCCAGCACCCAGACGATCAGCACTGGGCCCCCCAGGGGTGTTTCCTCTCCCCTCTGCTCTTCACCCACTACACAAATGACTGCACCTCAGGGGATCCATCTGATATAAACTCCTAAAGTTCGCAGACAACATGACGGTCATCGGCCTCATCGGGACAGTGATGGGTCTGCATACAGATGGGGAGGCTGAACAGCTGGCCCTCTCGTGCAGTCAGAACAACTTGGAGATCAATTCATTTAAAATGGTGGAGATGATAGTAGACTTCCAAAGGTGCCCCCCAGTACTGTCCCCCATCAGGAACTAAAGTGGGCGACCAACATAGACACAATTGTCAAAAATAATCCAGACATAATCCAAGAAAAAATACTCCACAATGATCCAGTCTGTTCTCTGCATGTCCATCACTGTCTGGTTTGGTTCTGCCACCAAGAAGGACAGGAAAAATCTACAACAGACAGTCAGGACTGCAGGAAAAATCACTGGTGCTGACTTGTACATGTCCAGAGTCAGGAAACAGGTAGAATCACTGCAGACCCATCACACCCTGGTCACAACCTGTTTGAACTCCTTCCCTCTGGCATGGCACTACAGAGCACTGTATGCCAAAACAACCACACACAAAGTTTTTTTTCCATGGGCCATCACTCTGATGAACACTTAAGTGTAAAGGACAAGTCTTATGCAGTATCTGCTGTCACCAAGCATTGCACTCATATCATACCTGTCAAGATTTGGATTTGAAAATAAGGGAAATTTTCCGGCACCCACCGTGAGCCACCCCACCACCCCAACCAAGCTCCAGTATCCCTTACATTTTAAGACAGGTGTACAAGAAATCTAAAATAAAATATTTTATTTTCATTACACATTTTCTTTTAATTTCTCATGTTCACTCGTGGCTCTCTGGCATTCACTAATGACTTATTATACAGATTTGTTGCAGACTTTGTATCATAAGAACATAAGAACATAAGAAATTTACAAACGAGAGGAGGCCATTCGGCCCATCAAGCTCGTTTGGG